ATTTCTTTATCTTTGCAAAATAAACACCTAATAGAACAGCCATGGTTGGGGAAAACCAACAATCCACACCGTGGATGGATCGTGGCATTAAGACATTGGGTCTTGATAAAATTGCAATCTCAAAAAAAAATGCAAGTTAATTTATTTTTGCTGTGGGTAGGACGTAGGGAGGAATATTTTGAACCCAAAACAACAACAGCAAGAAAATACAAACAAACACACCCTCAATTAGACAGAAACAATAGATTGCATTTCAATGTTCATGATTTAATTAATCACCAAAGCCATCGATCGGCACGTTCGCTTAAATACTACAAACTGCAAATAATTACGACACGGCGACGGGACTGCATTGGCAGTGGCAGCTAGCGGTTGCCCAGCATGTATGCATGCATTTAATGAATGAATGAAAGAATTACGAGCTTTGAGACCAGTGCTCTTTAGATTTTTTCTTAGTCGGTGATCCAGATGTACACCGACCACCAAGCTATTAGCTATGTAAACAGCGTTTATGGAAACTCCACTAGGTACTTAACTGCTTTTTTAATGTGTGGCATTTATCACGTTTGACAGCTCTATATTTTAAACGGAGATTTTCTGTATGAGCAGTTTCCTTGGTTGTAACAACACAACGAGAAATTAAAATGTCGAAAACGTAATATACAACGTAGAATATTGGAGAATATTATTAAAATAATACACTGGCAGATGTGTAGTTAGGATATTGCTACCACTCTTTTATGTGTAAGTTAGTTTTATCTGCCAAATACAGGGTGAGATAAAAAAACTGCAACAAAGTCAAACACCATCATTTTTAATTTTTTTTAAGCAAAAAATGTCGGAAATAGCCTCAAATTTAAGAATAGTTTTAGATTTGTTCGAATTGGTCATCTTTGGCAATTATAGCCATTACCGGGGAAGCGCTTGCTTCAGGACATTTTGGAATTTTTTATTTTATTTTCTCGATAATATTTGGCATTTACTCTAATGCCACGGTCGATTAATACGAGCGGAGAGCGACCATCGGCTGTTATGGCGGCCCACATCATCACTATGGCCGGCGCTTGAGTTCTGGTGGCCAACCGATGGTGCACATTTTCAGTTAACCTCTTTGGCAAGTAAACACGATCATTTTGTTTGTTTACAAACTGCTGAACAACGAATGTTTTCTCATCGAAAAAAAAAACAAATTCGGCAGATCACCACTTTCGGCCAAGCGAAGCACCTCTTTAGCTCTTTTGAGTCTATTTTCTTTCTGATGCGCTGTAATGGCTTTACCTGGAGCTCATTTTTCAGTATTTGTCGAATGGAATATTGCGATATGTTCAGCTCACGAGGCATTTCTCGGCCACTGCGACGTGGGTTTCGATCAAGTCGCTTCTTTACTTTTCGAACAATTTCTGCTGATGTTGCTGTTTTCTTCCGTCCATTTCCTTGACGTCGGGCTAACAGTATCACGGTAACGAGCTATGGTACGAGACACAAAATAGTTATTCACATTTAAATGCTGGAGTGCTCCAACGATAGCCACTTGTGGTTTCCTGCCAAATATAAAGAAATCACACTATCACGCTCGAATTCCATGACGAATTTTCTGGAAAATTCTCACCAAAATACTTTTGTACGCTTTTAAACAATATAATGAGCTGTCACTGGAATAATTTTAACAGCTGTCGGACGAGTGGCTTAGAAATGACAGCAGTCTGAAGTTGGTAGCAGTTTTCTCACCTCACCCTGTATAGCACATTTTTCCGAAGTCATGGAGGTGACTTTTAGCCACATGCAATAATAGTGAAATCCATATCAATTTTCAGAATTTTAGCTCTATTCCTTTACCCAATATCAAATTTAGAACTATTTAGTACTTTTCGTATAATTATAGCACATATTTTAAAAACCACACTTACTTTTCAATCTTTACCCTCATACTAAATTTCAATTTTCACATGATACCAAATGTTACCATTTCAGAAGTTTAGTACTATTTTAGAACATTTCGTGACCTTTAAGTTTGAATTTCTAAAAACCCTTTGGTAATGTATCCTGCACTCCATCAGTGACTCTAATTCCAAATTTCAAAATTATAGCTGATTCCGTTTGACTGACCGTCGTTCAAAATTAGAAGATTCTATTTTCAGACATTTCGTCTTGGTGTAAATTATCAGCGAGTTAGTTATTTCACTACAGCTTTATATACTCTCTATTTTGTACGTTTTCCAAATAAGATTTTTTCTCATCTCTGTCGCCAACACGTATCGCCGTTTCTCACCGCCGATTGTATTTTACTTGGTCTCTAATTGCTTTGTATTGGACACGACCGTAGTCCGTACCTTACTGTGAGCTATGTATGATATGCTCTGCCAGCATCGACCACTAATGGATTTATATTATTGGCTATCAATCCTGCACCATCAGCTAACTAATCGCATCGTATAAATATTGTTGCAATTTTAAACGTTTCTTAAACGTTTTAAATGGATAAATATTTATTTCGCACTTTATGGTGCGGTAATAAATTGGCTACTTATTTATGATCGGATTGAAAACATATCAGAGAATTATTTGGTTTATAAATAAAACAAATGTCAATTGCAATTAATTGGCGTAATTGCAAGGCGTAACATGGCAAAATTAATTACAACACAAAACGGTTGATAATGTCTTAACGACAATTTCTTGTCAGCATATCCTTTTGAGAGTCAGTGATTTATTAGAAGTTGTTTGAAAGTTGGAAAATATTTGAATGTCACTACACCATTTCCAATTGCTACTGCAAGAATTAATTAATTAAGATCTACTCATGATAATTCTAAGTATTACAAATCGTCGCATGCAAGACCTATAACAAGTTTTTTTATTAAATTTTTAGACGTTACAACAATTGGTGTGTCTGATTACCCTAACATTTGTAACAATTATTGCAAATTGTTATTGCAAGTGGTCTGTTAACGCTTTAGGTACTCTTTTTTTGTTTTGTTTTAGGTTTAAAAAAAATATATATTTTTTATTTTATAAATGTTTAAGCCTACGTTATGAATAACCAAAAGCAAATTTTTAACATTTTGTTTGCAAAAGGGATTTTTGGGCATTATGCCATATGGCATAGAAGGTATTTATAGGGAAACAAAAACAATATATAAACGCATTTAATACAATATTAAAATTTATTGTTTAAAACAATGCAAAGCTTAAATAAACAATTCAAATGCATTAATTTTATATATAAAAATATATATGTATAAAAATTAAGTATATATAGAGAATATATTAGATTAATATTAATTTTGTTTGAAACCTTAACTATAAAAATATGAAGTCATTCATAGCCAATTTCGGATCAGGAGAAGGTCTACATCTTTATATGTATCCCTAAAAAGGGAAAAAGTAAAGAAGCTGCAAGTTCGGCCGGGCCGAACTTTGAATACCCTCCACCATTTGGAACGAATTTGGCAATTCTAAAAAAGAAAAAAAAGAAAAATAAAATCCGTTAAAAATTCTGTTAAAATCTTAAAAATACCGAATGTAGCTGTTATATTAGGGTCTACGCAACGACATGGACCTGCATAGTTAACTTTTTTCATAAGCCATTACAATATTCAAATGCGAAACTTAAAAAAAATCGGAGAATAATGTAGCTAGAATCATCAAAATACAGAAAATCGGGAGGTACCGTCATATAGGGGCTATACGAAGACCTGGACCTGCACAGACAACTTTCTCTCATAGGCTTTAGTATCCATTACGAACTTCAAATACCAAATTTGAAACAATTCCGGTAAATAATGTCGCTAAAATCATGAAAATACCGAATATCGGGAGGTACCGTTATATGGGGGCTATACAAAAACGTGACCCTGCACAGACAATATTCTGTCTTAGGCTGTAGTATTCATTATAAGCTTCAAATAACAAATTTGAAACAATTCCGATAAATAATGTTTAGCGACTTCATCATCAAAATAACGAATATCGGGAGGTACCGTTATATGGGGGCTATACAAAGACGTGGACTTGCACAGACAATTTTCTGTCGTAGGCTGTAGTATTCATTATGAGCTTCAAACACCAAATTTGAAACATTTCTGGTGAATAACGTCGCTTAAATCACCAAAATACCGAAAAAATGGAGGTACCATTATATGGGGGCTATACCAACACGTGGACCTACATGACCCATTTTTAATACCAAAAGTCCTGCAGACATAATACACATTTGAGTAAAATTTTATCAACCTACTTCATTTCGTTCGGAAGCCAGAGTGATTTCCACAGACATATAGACTAACAGACGCACGGACATCGCTAAATCGACAATGCTTTGTGGAGTCTAAAATGTATATTCCGAGGTGTTACAAACGGAATGACAAATTTAATATACCCTCTATACTATGGTGGAGGGTATGAAAATATGACAATGTTCTTATACGTATTTCATCATAAAACGGAGTTCAAAAACTGGCTGGGCCATATGACATATGGGTTAACACAAAAGTTCTGCAAAAGAGAGCGACGCGAGAGAGAAATGTTGACAGATCTTTCAGTGATAGTTTTTAATTCTTGCTAGACAAATTTCTTCTGGCAATCACTTGCAAATCACATAAATTCTTCCAGTGATTTTTATTTGAGGAAACAATTTTAAACCCCTCTAAATTTTCAAAATCGCAAGTCTAATTGTTTTCTTAATTCATTTTCAATTTTTGCGTGCTTCATTTATTTCTATTCCGGACAAATTGTTTTGTTTTGACAAATCAGCTGATTGACTACAGATTCTGCAGAGATTCCATTTGTTTACTTTTCAGAGTTTTCTTGCGAAAGAGAATAAAACTATTTACTCTCTCAGAAAGAAGTTGTTGCACAATTACCAGACACAACTAATATTAAATTTTTGTAATTTATGGATCTTAAAATCAATGTTCATTGAAAATTTAGACATTTTATTTTATATTTAAATTTTTTATCTTAAATATAAACTAATTTTGTATTTTTCCTTTCATTTACAGGATGAACCTCTTAATACCTTCCTTAACTTGGGCGAATGCAAGGAACTCGAAGAATACTCGGTGAAATGCATCAAAGACGGTTGCTCCTTCAAGGCAGTGGCTAAAAATGGTGAAATTATTGGTGTCTTTCTTAATGCCCTTATGCATCGGCCAGCAGCTGACGTCGTACCCGAGGCATCTGCCGAGTCCTGTCAACATCCTAAATTCAAGAAAATTCTACAACTGATGGATTACATTGAGGGTGATTTTAATGTTTTCGATTTATATCCCGGCACTAATACCATTTTGGATGGTAAAATTCTCTCCGTAAATACCAATTATCGTGGTCTTGGCATTGCGGGACGTCTTACCGAAAGAACCTTGGACTATATGCGTGAACATAAAATCCCCGTAATGCATGTCCTATGTTCAAGCCATTATTCAGCCCGAGTTATGGAGAAATTGGGCTTCCATGAAGTGTATCGCCTAAACTATTGTGACTACAAGGTCAATAATGAAGCTGTACTCAGACCTGAGCCACCACATGTTGCTGCCCGTATACTGGTTAAGGAAATCACTGATGTGGTTAAAACCAAACTATAAAGAGAAGAAGAAAAGACGGCCGGACAATGCATGAAAATGACTAAAAGAGAAAATGTGAAAAATTCCCCACCCATTTGTTAGTTGCATGGTTGTATGTATGTATACCACCTAGGTGTATATGTAGTTTGTAATATTTGTATGTATGTTGTTGACAATTTTTTAATTTAATTTTTTTTTTGTTTTTTGTTTTCTTAATACAAATAATTATTTTATTATTATTATTTAACTATAAGCACACAAACATAAAAACTAAATCAAAAGAAAAAAAAATATTTGAAAATAATGTGATTTTAGATTGAATTAAGTTTATTTTTTATACATGGTGTCGGTTTAAATAGAAAATATACATTATACCTATATTAATATTTAAGTTTTAAAATTCACGTGGCCAGTGGTGTTGATATGAAATGTATGCCATATTTTATTTAATTGAAATTTTTGAGATTTTTGTTTAAAAACCATTTGTTGTGATTTTTTCATTAGTCATTTTTTTAAAGAAATTCAATTTAATGATCGGTAAATTTATTAATAAAATAAAAAAAAATAATGGAAAAAATTTTCCTGTGTGGGAAAAGTTGCAATGATTTGCATTCTATATTCATTAAGTATGTACATTCATCACTGTTAATTGTTTTATTTTGTTTTTCAAAGAAATTCCAAATAATTTTTATTGTTTTCGGTTTGAAGTTGTTGTATATTCGCTGTATAATTTATATAGTTCTAACTGTAATTGACATGATTATGATTGAACATTTTTGTGACTATTTACAATAATATTGTTATATAGCGCATATAAAAATTATTTTATAAATAATTTCATTATGTTTTTTAATCACAATAAATGCCAAAATATAAACCGTTAAATAGATTGTGTTTTCATTATCGAGATTTAAGGTGAGTAATACAGGGTGAAATGAAAAAACTGCAACCAATTTCAGACTGCGGTCATTTATAAGCCACTCGTCCGACAGCTTTTCAAACTATTCCACTCACAGCTCATTGTATTGATTACAAGAGTGCAAAAGCATTTTGTTGAGAATTTTCCAAAAAAAATTATTTGTAATGGAATTCAAGCGTGATAGTGTGGCCGCGTCGCAGTGGCCGAAAAATGGCTCGTGAGCTTAACATATCGCAATATTCCATTCGGCAAATATTGAAAAATTAGCTCAGGGTAAGCCATTGAAATTCCAAAAAGTGCAAGAACTTTTACCGCAACAGAAAGATAATAGATACAAAAGAGCTAAAGAGTTGCTTCGCTTGGCCGAAAGTGGTAAATAGCCGAATTTGATTTTCTCAGATGAGAAAACATTCGTTGTCCAGCAGTTTGTAAACAAACAAAATGATCGTGTTTACTTGCCAAATCGCCATAACAGCCGTTGGTCGCTCTCCGCTCGTATTAATCGACCGTGGCATCAGAATAAATGCTGAATATTATGGCGAAAATATTCTGGAGGGTGTATTAAAGCTTTGGACACGCAAACATTTTGGCCGCAGACCTTGGAAATTTCAACAGGTCTTAGCACCATCGCACTCAGCACACGTCAACCAAGAATGGTTACAATATGGGGTACCTCGCTTCATTTCCAGCGAACAATGGCCACCAAAATCTCCGTTTACCAATCCGTTGGTCAATTGTGTCTGGAGTATTTTGGAAAGCAAGGTTGGCACTAAAAATTACTAAAGTGTCGATCACCTCAAGCATGCGCTTCGCCGGCAATGGGCCAAAATACCGCAGAGCAACATTCGGGCAGCGTGTGACAGTTCGAACAAATCTAAACTAAAATTTAATGCTATTTCCGACATTTTTATTCTATCCACTCATTCCGTTTGTAACACCTCTAAATATAAATTTTAGACCACACCAAGTATATATATATTCTTGATAAGCAAAAAATTCTACGTCGATTTAGCGATGTCCGTCCGTCTGTGGGAATCACTCTAGCTTTCGAACGAATTGAAATAGATTGATAAAATTTTACTCAAATGTATGTTATGTCTGCAGGACTTTTGTTATTGAAAATGGGCCATATATGTCCAGGTTTTGGTATAGCCCCCATATAACGATACCTCCCGATATTCGGTATTTTGATAATTTTAGAGATTTTATTCACCGTAATTGTTTCAAATGACACAAAATTGTATGTGCAGGTTCACGTCTTCTTATAGCCCCCATACAACGGTATCTGCCGATATTTGGTATTTTGATGATTTTAGCTACATTATTCTCCGATTTTTTTAAGTTTCGCATTTGAATATTGTTAAAAAGTTAAGTATGTAGGTCCATGTCGTCGTGTAGACCCTAATATAAAAGCTACATTCTTCTTCACCGATTTTTTTTAAGTCTCGCATTTTAAAATGGTCCATGCCGGCGTATAGACGCTAATAGACTAGGTACATTCGGTATTTTTAAGATTTTAACAGAATTTTTTACGGATTTTATTGTTTTTGAGAAATGCCAAATTCGTTCCAAATGGTGGGGGGTATTCAAAGTTCGGCCCGGGCGAACTTACATCTTTTTTACTTGTTAATATTTGTAGTAATATCAGCCGCCTAAAAGTATGCTTAATAAACTACATATTGATACAACTACTCGTTTCTCCCACTATATCTATAAAAGGGAAAAAATTACTGACTGAATGATCGAGAATCAACGATCAGAAGGAACGGATGAAGCTGGAATCTTGAAATTTTGCACGAGGGTGAGTCTTGATGCGTAGATAAGGTTGGGTTTCTGGAATTCACACTAAAAGGTTAGGAATAGTACTAAAAAGTACTGAAAATGTAATATTTTATATTGGACAAATGGAATGAGCAAGAATTCTAAAATTTGGAATGAGAGTCACTGATCGAGTGCAGGATAGATGCAACAAAGGGTTTTTTAAGGTTAGTATAAGTTCTAAAATTGTACTTAATTTCTAAAATGGTACCATTTGGTATTATGTGAACGGATAGAGCTAAAAAACTTAAATTTTGCTATGAGAATCATGGTTGGAAAGTAAGTTTGATATATGAAGATGGTTTTGGAAATGTATGCCATAATGGTAGAAAAAAATATTTAATTTTTGTACACTTAAAAAGTACACCAAGTTTTGTACCATTTCGGAAATGAGTACTAAGTGTTCGCACTGTATTAAATGGTACTACATTTGGAACACATTGTTTTACGGTAAACAGATGAAGGTGAAATTTTGTATTGGGATAACTGTTAGTGGTAGGTTTGTGATAAAGAGTAAGTTTAAGAAATATATTCAAAAAGTGCACGAAAAGCACTGACTATTAATATATTTGGTACAATTTGTTATTGGGTGAACAGATAGAGCTTGAAATCTAAGATTTGGCATGTGGATCGATGTTCATATGTAGCCCGGACATATAAAAGTGGGTTCCGAAATGCATACAATAATTCTATGCAAAGCACTGAATGGTACTATATTTGGTATTGGGTGAAGGGATAGAGATACAACTCTGAAATTTGAAACACGTGTCACTGTTGGTGTCTCCGGTTAAGATATGGAGGTGGTTTTGAAAATGCCTACTATAATTGAACATAAAGTACTAAGTGGTACTAAATAGGATATTGGGTAAAGGAATAGAGCTGGAAATCTGAAATTTAGATTGGAGTCTTTGATGTTGTGTAGGATAGATAAATTTGAAGCAGTTTGCTTAAGGGTGAACAGATGATAGTTTTGGAAATGTTAACTACAAGTTCACGAAAAATACTAAATGGTTGTTTATTTGGTACAATTTGGTATTCGTTGAAGAGACGGTGCTTAAATATGAAATTGTTTATTAGGGTCGCTGTTCATTTGTAGCCTGCATATATGGAGGTGGTTTCGGAAATGTCTACTATGGCTGTACGAAAATTACTGAATGGTACTATTTTTGGTTTTGGGAGAAGGATAAAATAAATTTCTGAAATTTGATATTTAGATTACTGAAGGTATCTGTGTTTGAGATTTGGTGAAAGAATGATGCTGGACTTTTGAAATTTTGTATTGAAGTCATTGTTGGTGGAGGTGATTTGTGATAAAGATGTAGTTTTGGAAATGTGTGCTGCAAGTGCACGAAAAGTTCTAAATAGTACTATATTTGGTACAATTTTGTATTGGTTGAACAAAAATTTTGTATTAGGATCGATGTTCATACGTAGCCTGGACATATGGATGTACTATAATTGTACAAAAAGTAATGAATGGTACTATATTTGGTATTGGATGAAGAGATACAGATAAAATTCTGAAATTTGATATTTATATCACTGATGGTATTTGTTTTGAAATTTGTTGGTGGTTTGAAAATGCGTTGTATATTTGTACAAAAAGTACAAATGGTTCGAATTGGGGCTAGAATCCGCAAATTTGATTTTGAGATACCAGTTTGTATCTGGAATTGAGATATGGAGGTGATTTTGTACCATAATTGTTAGAGCTGGAATCGCGAAATTTGAAATTGAGGTATCTTTTGGCGTCTGTGGTTGAGAGAAGGAGCTGGTTTTTGATAATGGAGCTAAATATGGTAATTGAGAAACATGTGTTTTTGCAAAATATGCTATAATTTCTTAATTTGGTATAGGGAGAAGGAATAGAGCTGAATTCCTCAAAATATATAAAACCACTGTTGAATATTAATGTCACCATGGACATTTGTGGTTGAGATGTGGGGATGGTTTTGGAAGTGTAAACAACATTAAAATATATATTTTAAACTGATATATATATATTTTCGAAATTTTATTATACCCTACAACACTATGTGTTGGGGGTATTATAAGTTTGATTGGGCCAGAATTTATGTAACAGCTCGAAATATTGGTTTCCCATATAGGAAAATATATATGGATCTTCCTAGCTCGCCGAGCTGAGTCGATCTAGCTATGTATGTCCGTCCGTCCGTCTGTCCATGTTAATTTGTAATCACGCTACAGGTCGCAATTATGGCCCGATCCTTACGAAATTTTGCACGAAGGTGGGGTTAGGGTCAGAATAGAAGCTTATTTCTTTTGGAGATGATCGCCAAATGTTTAGGGGTTGAAATGGACCAAATACTGAAAAAATGTCGGATTTTGCAGTAGCTATACAGGTCGCAATTATAGACCAATCGACGCGGAATTTCGCATGTAGCTAGAGTTTAGGGCGGGGAAGAAGCCTACCAATTTGGTTGGTTATCGGATAATATTTAGCGGGTAAAATAGACCATATCTTTTGTGTGGAAAAAATTCAAAATTTTTCATTAAACCGCAAATATTTTAAATCCCTGCGAAACCACAAAGCCATGACAAGGTTACTTCTGATCTTTACATTGATGTTAACATCTAACAAATCGGATATAGAGAAAAATATGTGCGATATATATGTCTATCAAAGAAGATATGCTTGAAAGATCTCTTATATGTCGAGAACGGCTGAACTGATTTCGACAGTTCTCATTAATTTAGAATGGCCTCTTGACAGGAAAGAAATAACGTCTAAAAAAAATCGCATAAAAATTTCTCTCTAAAGGTGAAAATATTGATTTTGTAAAATTTTCTCATATTTTTTCAATTTTGTCATATTTTTGGCATATTTTCATTTTGAATTAAACATTTGGTAATATTTCTACAGCTAACAAAAGTAAGTAGTTAGGATATCAGGATATCATATACAGATCGCATTTATTACGGAATTTTGCATGGGGATAAGATGAGGGTCAGAATAGAAGCCTACTCTTTTTGGAGATGATCGCCATATATTTAGGGGTTGAAATGGACAAAAAACTGCAAAATTGTCAGCAGGTCGTAATTATTGCCCGATCCTCATGCACATTTGAATGGAGTTACCGGACATTGCAAAAGCCAAGTAGTTTTGGATGGCCATCCAAAAATATTCAATGTGTGAAATAGTTTGCCAACTTTTGTTGGCACACATTTCACAAATACAGGACTATTTTGTTAACGCTGATTTCGTTGAAGAATATAGTCAAATGTCTGTATCTCATAAGGATGCGTTTCAGTCAAAAACCAATAATAAATGTTAATCTTTTGCCACTTCTGAGAGAATATAGGTCTTTGGGAAATATTGGTTCCAGATCTAGGAAGACCATTTAAGTGCAACATCTACCAATAAATTGGAAATGAGCAAATTAGTTTAAGTTGCTATTATTCGAAAATTAGAGAACGAAACCTGGTTTTCTTTTATTATTTGTCACAATATCTTGCGGAATTCTTTCGAGTATCTCGCCTATATAAACTGTATCGTTTATTATAGTGTTGTAGGGTATTCAACGGTCGGCCCCGCTCGACCGTAGCCTTTACTTGTTTTTATTTAGAAATGACACTTATACAGGGTGCGATAAAAAACTGGAACAAAGTCAAACGCCATAGTTTTTACATTATTTTTTTTTTTAAACTTTATTGATTGAAAGGAAAAAATCTGAAAATAGCATCAAATTTTAGAATAAGTTTAGATTTGATCGAATTGATCACCTTTGGCACGAATTAAGGCTTTCAACTGGTCAATGAAACCGTCACACGCTGCCCGAATGTTGACCTACGGTATTTTGGCCCATTCCAGACGAAGAGCTTGCTTGAGCTGATCGACACCTTGGTATTTTTTAGACCAACGTATTGGTATCCGGGGATTTTGGTGGCCATTGCGCGTAACCATTCTTGGGTGGCGCGTGCTGAGTGCGATGGTGCTGAGTCCTGTTGGAATGTCAAAGGTCTGCGGCCAAAATGTTTGCATGCCCAAGGCTTTAATACATCCTCCAGAATATAATACCCGGAATTTATTCTGATGACACGTTCGATTAATACGAGCAGAGAGCGACCATTGACTGTTATAGCGGCCCACAACATCACCATGGCCGGCCCTTCAGTTCTGGTGGCCAACCGAAGGTGCAAATTTTTAGCTAACCTCTTTGGCAAGTAAACACAATTATTTTTTTGCTTACAAACTGCTGGGCAATGAATATTTTATCAACGGAGAAAACCAAATTCGGCAGTTCACCACTTTCGGCCAAGCAAAGCAACTCTTTAGCTCTTTTGAGTCTATTTTCTTTCCGTTGCGGTGTAAGTTCTTGCACTTTTTGGAATTTCAATAGCTTTACCCTGAGCTGATTTTTCAATATTTGCCGAATGGAAAATTGTGATATGTTCAGCTCACGAGCCATTTTTCAGCCACTGCGACGCGGGTTTCGATCAAGTCTCTTTATTTATTTTACATTTAAATGCTGGAGTGCTCTAAAGATAGCCACTTGTGGTTTTCCAGCCAAATATAAAGAAATCACACTATCATGCTTGAATTCTAACACGAATTACTTTTTTTCTGGAAAATTCTAACCAAATTGCTTTTGTACGCTTGTAAATAATATAATGAGCTGTTGGTTGGCTAAAGTTAGTTTTTTCATCTTACCCTGCATACCCTCTACATTACCAGAAGGCCAAAAATATTCACACTACATACTTTCTGTGGATCCAATAAATTAAAAAAAATATTACTATAAAAATTGCAAGACAAAATATCTTATTTTCATATTGTTTTGTAATAATGTCAGCCTGACTACAAAACCTATAGTCGTTGGTCTAAATCTCTAAGATACCAAGCTGCAGATGTATCCCCACCTTAACACCTTAAATATGTAAATACTGAAAATATGCACTTTAAATCCCCAAACAAAGAAAATTGTAACACCATAAAATATTGGTCCTAGGTCCACGATATTGTAAATCGATCTTCCTGTCTCACCAAGTTGAGTCTATCTAGCCGTGTGTGTTTTTTCTTTGTCTGTCTTTGTTTACTTTCATTCACTCTATAGGTCGCAATTATGGTCCGATTCGATTTTGCAGAATTTTGCATGAGCTTAGTGTGTTAAGGACTATATAGAAACCCTAAATTTTGGCTGGTTATGGTATAAAATATAAAAATACCAAAATTTCGATTCAGCCGCGAATATTATTAATACTGAAAGTCACAATCACAAACAAGTGAATCATTAATATGAGTAGATGAATCAGCGGTCAAAAACAAAGATAACTATTCTAGCGAAGATAGTTTCATAGACAAGATAGGAACCTAAATATGACAACATTCGACCTTTAAGTTCGAAATATCACTCACAAATATTGATTAGAGAACGAGCTTTGGTATTTGGATTGAAGTTTTTAAGTTTTCTAGTCAAAAGGATTTTAGGCCTTCGAAAAACTTTACCACACATAACTCTTTTTGACATACATATATCTATTTATTCTATATTATATTGAATTTTGGTTCAGAGATCAACATTTACTAAGAAAATTTATATGGAATTTTGTGATATTTTTACTCTATGGGTCATATTTTATGTTGGAGTGCATTTTTTGGATCTGGTGGATTTTTGGTTTTGGATCTAATTAAAGGTAATTTGGATATTGCCAAAATACAAAAAAGATTTAATAAAAGTTAAAAATATTAGTGCTTTGAAAATTGAAAATACTTGAATATGACAAGTACAAGCTTCTCGATTGTTGTGATTATTTATTACGCAACACAACTATTATAACGAGTTTTAAGTCGATAAAGTTATGATTTTATCACAATTGTATTTATTTTTTTTTTCGAGTTAACAATTTTTTTAAAATTTAAAATTAGAAAAATCTATTGAAATTGATCTAGTCTATTCTGTATATTACAAAGTGTCAATGTATAACATTTATTAACAAATGTTTCATTACTCGATATTTGTTAATAAATGCTTCAAATACACTGCACAAACATATAGTGTTCAAAATTATCTATCTGCCTGATTGGCGGTAACACGTTCCACAAATCGACGTATATTTTCCTCTCTTGTAGAATTGCTAACTTCGGTCCGTATACGTTGATGGTGAGCGCTCGCTTTGGCCGATATTTCATCTAAACTTTTTTGATTAATTGCAAAAGATTGCCTTTGAAAAAAAATAAAACATTACTTGATTTAAATTACATTTGTAATAGAATTACGACTTACCGGACCGAGAAAAATCCAAAAATTCCACCAGCTATTCCTAGAAATATTATTGCCGCGGCTACTTTAAAGTTAGTTGTTCTACGTACACCATTGATGCCATAGTAGGGACCAGGATTCGGATCATAGTCTGGTTTAATTTCCCATGGTCTGCAAAAGAAATAAAAATAGTAATAAGATTTCGTATTAAGCAGTGTTCAGTTCCTATCCTCTTTTGGCTTTGCATTCATTCATTCCGCAAGCAACAAAATATATGAGCAACAAACCAAATAAAATGGCTTTAAATTCTGGCCGAATATTGTATGACCTCTGCCATTGGAAAATTTAAATAGTAACTAATAGGTTGACTTAAAAACTCCTTTTTTCGCGTTATTTTTACTTGTGCCGCAATACATCAGAATCATGAAAAGCTGTCTAGTATCTTTAGAATGATGTTCAAAATATTAGACAAAAAACCTTTTTTTTGTTCTATCTCGATAAAATTTGGCAAAGCTATTTCTGAGCTGCATTTGATATATTTCCCTGAATATCGTTGTTACGAAGTGTATATTACGGCTGTGGGTAACAAATAGACTCAATTCGGTCGTAAGTGCCATTTGGGCAAATATTAGACGTTTGGTGCACAATAAAAGGTAAATCGGACGAAGTTATATATGGGAGCTATATCCAAATCTTACCCGATCCCGATAAAATTTTGCAAAATTATTTCTCAGCTGTATTTCTTATATTTCCCTAAATATTGATGTTACATAGTGCATATTACGGCTGCGGAGGACAAAAATAATAAATCGGATGAGCAATATATATGGGAGCTATAGCTATATCTGGTATACTTATTTTCAGGGCTAATTTAGTTGTATGTGCAAAATTCCACACTATTTGGGCTGATATTACACGTTTGGTTCGCAATAAAAGGCAAAAGATATATATGGGAGCTATATCTAAATTTTGACCGATTATCTCCAATTTAAATAGGTTTCGTCCTTGGGCCAATCAAATAGTTTGTGCAAAATTTCATATGGATCGGGCAATAAATGCGACCTGTACTTTGTTTACAAAAATACATGGACAGACGGACGAACGGACATGCATAAATCGACTCAGAATGTGATTCTATGCAGAAAATCAAAAGGAACTATGAGTCTATCTCGTTCCATTTTGACTGTTACAAACAAATGCACAAAGACATAATACCTTGACCACCTTGTGGTGTAGGGTATAAACATGGACCAAATCTATTCCCACACCGTGACCATATGTGAACTTCGATGAACATTTACATCCAAATTCACATGTGGTCACATCTACGACGTTCGATTCAACAACCCAAATGGTCCAAAAATGCCCGCTTAACGCTTCTCAGTCTACTAATAAGATTGCAGAATATTTTTTTTCAATACACCGCTTTGGTATTATTTGACAGAAATGGGTTTAGTATGAGTCCCAGTCAGTGGGAGCCCTTCGTACGTATCTTGGTTAGCTGTTGTAGCACCCCGTACAGCTGAGTTGGTCATAATGTATCTCTAATTTTTCTTAGTTGCTAGTTCCATAGTCAGAAAGGAGGCGACCTCTGTGATCTAACGGTGATAGAGTTTGATGAGTAGATTTGGCAGGGAGTAACGTAGCCTTTACCACATGCTTTCTACAATTTATCAGCACAGGACTGATACGGGGAATGTAAACGACAGTTTCGTAACCACTGTATGGAATATCAAGCCTCATCGCATGTTTTCCAAATTTTCCAGTATCTCTTTTAGTTCATGCAGTTGCATAAGGGCTTAGGAACAACAGTGTAATTATAAATTACAGTATTCCCTCCCTTATATCTGTTTTAATCACATATATTCTATTGGTCTCCGTTCCACAGAGTGAGGTTCATTTTTGCAGATGGAAACTACTTCATACTTGATTTGTATATTAAGTTTCTCTTGGTCGTATTGTTTTTTCTTGCACTTGCCTGTGAATAATAGTTCTTGCCGACTTCCCCACTTCAATAATTCTTGAATTTTGTGAAGCCTTTAAGATTTCGTCATACTCCCGGCGCAATTTTGGCTTACTTAATGTCTGATATGCCTCGGAAATTTTTAAGAAACGTGCCGTATGATCCTGCGAGCTGCCTTTGGCATCAGGATGATACTAAAATAAGAATATTCATAAATAAATGTTCAATCAAACACCCACCATTTGTTTGTTGTCCTTACCTGTTTGGATAGTTGGACATAGGCGTTACGGATATCTTTATCACTGCAATCATTGCTTACTTTCAAAACATCGTACAACGTTTCCGATGTTTTAGCTCCGTTGCCCTTATCCATTTAATACAAACAAAATCTAGAGCCGCTTAATTTTGAATTTGGTCCAATTTTGTGTTTTTTATGTTTTGCATAATGAAACAAAACAAACTTCTGCGTTGTAAAGTAATAGAAAATAAACGTCACAACAGGGTTGTCAGTATTGGGGATTATTTCCCCAACATTGGGGGAATTTTTTGCGAATGAAGAAGAAATTATTAACATTACGTGCCAAATGTTTAGAAATTATAAATATTACGTCGAAATCTTTTACAACAAAAAATAAAATTTACGAAAATAACAATAATAGAATATGACAACAAATTACGTTGTCTTTTTTCACAACATTATCCACCATAAGGTATCACAGAAAAATTTATGGCACGGCAACACTACCCAGTAGATGTGAATTGAACAGCTGTTTTCCTTTGTTTAGAATAGGTAGTAATAGAGAATTTGAATTGTTATGCGAATGAGGAAATGAAAGAATGACTAAAAGTTTTTTGGTTATCGTGTTACCACATTAGCTAAACGTCAAATGATTTCCGTTTAAATTCATTCAGTTTATTAATCGCTAACAGAGCTGCCGTAGTAGCAAAGACATCTACCACCACAAACAGGGTAATTCATGTAGTGAAAGTATTAACTACAAGCTGACAAACTGAAATACAAAAAATAATTTAAATAACAAAAGTTGGAGATTTGTTAAGTACATTATGTTGAAGATGTAAAAAAAAACAAATTGAACGTTTAAATTGAAAATTGGCAGTTAAAAAATATCAGTCGGTTCTGCCGACAGATGTATATCCACTATCAATGTATATCCACAGCTAATGTTTGATTATTTAAATATATTTTGACTTCAGTTATAATTATTCAAATTGTTGTCCCTGTATGGAGTGGGTTCCGAAAGAGTGGGCCAATATTTTCCATTTCGTATCGGACCTAATTAAATATTGATACGTGCCAGGTTTGGACTATATTTGTTACTTCCTTCACTTTGTTAAAATGTGTGTGAGGTGCCAGATATAGTCGACCGAAGTATTCGATTTTCATACCACATCTATAACGTATAAAAATATTGGTATGGACAATATTACAAGAAAATCGAACATTTATATTCAATTTATGGAAAATCATAAATTCCATATTCATCTCAGGTTTTTGTCAAAGAGACATATATTTAGATATAGTAAGTTATAAATAATCGCAAGTTATGACAGATAAAAGTATATATATGTAATCTTCACAACAGATCTTGTGTTAGAAAAAATGTTTGTAGACGCTTATTTTGCAGTCTTTGAGGGTTTTTTGAACCCTATGTAGGGAAGTTACCAGAATGAATGGTCCGATCTCTATCATCTTTATAACAGATCTTGTGGTGAAAGAAATATTGAGATGTGCTTAGTCTGAAGGAAATAAAATGTTAATTTCGCGTTTTGTGAGCTTCGTGGTTATTGAAAATTTTGACCCTTCGTGGGGGCGGTACCAGAAGGAGTGGACCTTGGATTAATAAAAATATTGTGATATGTGTAATTTGAAGACTATCGGACACTTACATCACATTTTATAAGAGTTATACTTATTCAAAATTTTAACCCTTGGTGGGGGAGGTAATTGATGGAGTGTACCAATATTGTCCATTATCTCAGATGACCCAGCACTAATACAACTAGTAGGATTTGCAAAGTTGGAGCAAAATCGGATTATCCTTTCTTGTTCTGTGCAGTTGGCCGATCTTGCCACTAATACAAATAGTAGGACTTGCAATATTGGAGCAAAATAAGATTATCATTTCTAGACAAATGGATGGACGGACATCGCTAGATCGACTTTAAATGTCCTGAAACGAATTTAGTCCATTCTCTTACTTAAGCAGGCTGATTTTTTCTTAAATTTATTTTTTTTAGAATTTAATACATGACGTTTTTCCAAAGGCTAACATCTTAGTTGATATTTATTTATTTGAAATTCGTACTAACTACAAACTTTAAAATAAAAAACAAACCGAAGTACATGTATACTTATCGCAGCTTGTATAACAAACAAATATCACATGTTGTTTGCAATAAATCAATTCTGGATTTGTGTCAAAATTTTTGCTATCAAAATTGGACAGCAATTCATCAAATTTTATGCAGGGAACCTTCAGAACATTTTCGGCATATTTTCCGTATACAAAGCACCTAGCGATAACCACTTGATTAATTTGATTTTAACGCCGAATAATAAATGGTTCCATGAGCAAAAAGTGTTTACGTTAATACCGTGATCGGTCAAAACACCAAGTTTCTTTCACAGATTTTATTATTGTTGCTTATGTTGGAGGTTATTATAATTTTCTTGCGGCCAAAATTTTAGACCTTATGTCTCCTTCGCCATAACGAGTATCTCTATTGATGCCCTTGCGTGTTTCTGGCTGGCTGGAGTTTGAGTTAAGCTTCTAAAGAAGTATCCGATGTGGTCCTAGCCGGGCATAGAAAAAAAATGTGTATCAAATTAAGGTCGAGTTACAAGATTTTCTTCTGTTACATCTCAAATCCTATTAAGGGTATACACTATGGCCCATTATGCCATTTTGCATTGGTTTGTAACATACTAATGAAACTAAGAATGGACTTTTCGTGATCTTCATAGATTCACATTCTGAGTCGAGCTGTGCAGGTCGCATTTACTGCCCGATTGAGATGAAATTAAGGTGTAATATCGGCCCATATAGGATGATCTACTAAATTCAAATATGTCAAATTTGGTGAAAATTGTCCCCGATATATATTGGCCCGATTATATATATGTATGGGAAAATTTTAAATTTCTTTAACAACTCCATATAAAATATTTTAAGAAAATGTGCAGGCACATCAAAAATTTCAGTATCTATTCGCGTTTACAAAATTGGATTCTGCGCCCCAAAATTACAAAGGTTAAAATGTATAACGAAGAAATATTTAAACATTTTTTATTTTGTGTAAGGTGGTATTTACTATTTATACAGGTTCAGTTAGAAACGGGTAAATAAAAACAAGTAAAAAAGCTGAAAGTTCGGGCGAACTTTGAATGTTTTATGGAGACTATATGAAGACGTGCACATGCATATAACAATTTTTGTCATAGGCTGTAGCACCAATTACAAACTTCAAATACAAAATTTGAAATAATTCCGGTAAATAATGTTGGTGAAAACATGAAAATATCGAATATCGGGAGGTACCGTTATATAGGGGCTATACGAAGACGTGGACCTGCACACAAATTTTTTTATACCCTCCACCATAGTACCCATATAACGGTACCTCCCGATATTCGGTATTTTGATGATTTTAGCGAATTTATTCAACGGAATTGCTTCAAATTTAGTATTTAAAGTTTGTAATGGATACTACAGCCTAAGACAGAAAATTGTCTGTGCAGGCCCACCTCTTTGTAAAGCCCGCATATTACGGTACCTCCCGATATTCGGTATGTTGATGATTTTAGAGACATTTTTCACCAGAATTGTTTCAAATTTGATATTTAAAGTTCATAATCGATACTACAGCCTATGGCAGGAAATTGTCTGTGCAGGTCCACGTCTTCGTAGAGCCCCCATATAACGGTACCTCCCGATATTCGGTATTTTGATTTAATCGACATTATAAACAATTTTTTCAAGTTTCGCATTTGAATATTGTAATGGCTTATGAGAAGTGTTACTTACGCAGGTTCATGTCGTCGTATAGACCCTAATATAATAGTTACATTCGGTATTTTTAAGATTTTAACAAAAGTTTTAACGGATTTTATTGTTTTTGAGAATTGCCAAATTCGTTCCAAATGGTGCAGGGTATTCAAAGTTCGGCCCGGCCGAACTTACAGCTTTTTTACTTGTTTTCCATAGGTTGTAGTACCCATTACTAACTTCAAATACAGAATTTGAAATAATTCCGGCAAATAATGTCGCTGAAAACATGAAAATATCGAATATCGGGAGGAACTGTTATATGGGGGCTATTTGAAGGCGTGGACCTGCACAGACAATTTTCTGTTATAGGCAGTAGTACCCATTACGAACTTCAAATACTAAGTTTTTTCAAATACTAAATTTTTAATACCAAAAGTCCTACGACATAATATACATTTGAGTAATATTTTATCAACCTACTTCATTTCTGTTGGAAGCTAGAGTGATTTCCACAGATGGACGGTCATGGCTAAATCGACATAGAATTTTATGCTGATCAAGAGTATATATACTTTGTTAGGTCCAAAATGTATATTTCGAGGTGTTACAAACGGAATGATAAACTTAATATACCCTCCATACTATGGCGGGGGGTATAAAAAGCATGCAGAAAAATAACCAAAAATAACAGTTAATGTCCTCAAGAAAATTAATGCATATTCCAATGCAATATAAAGAAAAATAAAATTTTATAAATTTTAACAAAGCCTTTGCGGAAACATTTGCGAGGTTGGAGTGTACCGCACTCTGTGATCTTGCAGAAAAAAGAAATAAAAGAGTGATCTGCAAGAGTGTAATCTGCTCGATTTTGAATGAAATGCTTAGGTTGTTCGATCTTTTTTCTCCCAGAATCACATTCGCTCAAATTCGATTGAGTTTCGCGCTTTGTACAAATTCGTGCAAGTTTGAACACCATGATAATTTTTTTCGCTTAGCACCCCCCTGAGTACCTTTTTTCATTACATAATTCGAAAAATTGAGTAAAAGAAGTTCAATTTATTTTTAAACAATAATCTTTATTCCAATTTTTGTGTGGAGAAATTTACAATTGATAATATTTTCATACTAATTATCAATAAGGACTAGTTTTTGTAATCGTTTGTTTGTGTTTTTTTCTATTTTTTTTCTTCTTTATAACTTCTAAAATATTTATTTTGTGCTATTTTAAAAATATGTATACGTACGTTGTTGTTGTCGTATTTAAATAAAAACGCTTAAATACTATTGATGGTGTAACGAGAAAATTGGCTTAATTTATGATTTGTTTTCAATATTTTTCAATTAATGTGAGAATTTGTGTTATTATATTTTTCATGTGTTTATCTTAATTATTAAGTATATACAAATATTAAATATTTATAAATAAAACAAAAAATAAAATAATGAAAGTTAATACAAACGAAAGGTATGATTTACATGTTTATATTAAATTGTGAAATAAGAACTTAACACATTGGCTGAAAAGTTTATGGGGTAAAGAAAATTTGTAGTGAAAAAAATCTTGTTATGTCAAAAACAAATTTTGTAATATAGGAAAAAATGACTTCAGAATTTGGTCCATCAAAATTTATTCAATTTCAAAAATCATTCTCCAAAACATATTCTTAGGTTATTATAATCCATAACTCAAAGGTTATTATACAGGGTGAGATAAAAAACGCCATAATTTTTACATGTTTTTTAAATTTTATTGAATGAAAGCACAAAATGTCGGAAAGATCATTAAATTTTAGAATACGTTTAGATTTGTTTGAATGGTCATCTTTGGCACGAATTATGACCTTCATACACCCAATGAAACCGTCACTGCGGTATTTTGGCCCATTCCCGGCGTAGCGCACTTTGGTATTTTTTAGTGCCAACCTTGCTTTCCAAACTACTCCAGACACAAAAGTCCAACGGATTGGTATCCGGAGATTTTGGTGGCCATTGTGCGCTGGATGGCGCGTGCTGAGTGCGATGGTGCTGAGTGCTGTTGGAATGGCCAAGGTCTGCGGTCAAAATGTTTGCGTGCCCAAGGCGTTAATACACCCTCCAGAATATTTTCGCGATAATATTCGGAATTTATTATGAGGCCACGGTCGATTGATACGAGCGGAGGGCGACCATCGGCTGTTATGGCGGCCCACACCATCACCATGGCCGTCGCTTGAGTTCTGGTGGCCAACCGAAGCTGCACATTTTCAGCTGACAAACTTCTGGACAACGAATGTTTTCTCATCGGAGAAAACCAAATTTGACAGTTCTTCACTGTCGGCCAAGCGAAGCAACTCTTTAGCTCTTTTGAGTCTATTTTCTTTCTGTTGCTGTGTATATTCTTGTATTTTTTTAATTTCAATGGCTTTACCCTGAGCTCATTTTTCAATATTTGCCGAATGAAATATTGCGATATGTTCAGCTCACGAGCCATTTTTTCGGCCACAGCGACGCGGGTTTCGATCAAGTCGCTTCTTAACTTTTCGAACCATTTCTGCCGATGTTGCTGTTTTCTTCCGTCCACTTCCTTCACGTCGGGCTACCCTACCAGTGTCACGGTAACGAGCGATGGTACGAGACACAAATTCTCTTCTAAATGCTGGAGTGCTCTAACGATAGTCACTTGTGGTTTTCCAACCAAATGTAAAGAAATCACACTGTAACGCTTGAATACTATCACGAATATTTTTTTTCTGGAAAACCAAAATGCTTTTGTACGCTTGTAAATAATATAATGAGCTTTCACTGGAATAATTCTAAAAGCTGTCGGACGAGTGGTTTAGAAATGACAGCAGTTTGAAGTTGATTACAGTTTTTTTTATCTCATCCTGTAAATTAAAAGTCAACACAAATAAGACCCTGAACCTTTAAATATTTTTCTTAAATTTGAAATATATTGAGTGTGGACATGTATTCTACAATTTTTTTATTTTTTCCCTGCCAATATTTGATTTTTAGTTACGTTTTTTAAAATAGTATTTGGAATTGTTTCAGATCGAAAAAATCGTTCATAAAAGTAGGTCACCAATGAACATAAGATTTATAAAGAGTATGACTATTATTATTTCCTAAATAAGAAATCTTGGTAAGCCATGAAAATTTCAGCCATGTGTTATTGTTATAGATATGTCAAAAAAATATATATTCCAAGAAAATTAAAAAATATACAATTTAAGTATTATATTTGTTTCCAATATTTTCTTAATTATTATCAGATATTTATAAATATGCAGTATAAGGAGAACCCTGAGTTGTTGTTTTGTTGTTAGACATGATTATTTTAATTATTATTGTTACTATTAGTAAAATGTTAAATTAATTTATTTTTGTTTCATATTTTGCACTAATACACAATTCTATAATAAAGTCTTAAGAATAATAATTGTTGTCCTCTATATACAAAATTTGATATTTGCTGTTTTGTGTGTGGGTTTATTTGATTATAGGTTAAACAAATACTTGTTAGTCCAATTTATTTAATTCTTTTTTGTAGTGCTATTTTATTTTTGTTTTTTTATTTATATCACAGCCAAATGAGCAAAACAAAATCAATGCAGAAATGTTTATTTTGTTTTTTTTTTCTCTCTTCAAACAAAAAAACACAACAAATAATTTTTAACATTTGTCATTTGGCAAGGTATGGCATATGGGATTCATTCCCCTTCCATCAGGCATTTCCGTTTACATCGATTCTCTACTATTGTCACTGTTATGTTGCATTGCTAGTTGACATTCGGTTAATGGAACACTGTTATTACCAGCCGCTGTTATGGGTGGATTATTTTTCATGTTATTAACATTGCTGCCAGTACATTTACTGTTCATGTTATTGTTGCTGTTGTTAACGTTAATATTACTTTTAGCTGAATTGATAATACTATTCGGTGTGGAGCAGGCTGAATTCGGTGCATTGTTGTTGTTGTTGTTGCCGCTGTTATTAGCAGGTGGCGAAGTGGTGGTAGTCGACACAGTGTGCTGAGCCATAATATCGGCTGGTATTAGACCCTCCTTGACACGTTTCTTTTGTTTCATGCGACGATTTTGAAACCAGATTTTAACCTGAAATTAGAAAGAAAATGTTAATTTTTTTACTCAAGTTTAAAAATATGCCTCAAAATATTCTTCAAAAATTCCACATTTAAAGATCTGATAACCCTTAAAAAATATTCTCAAATATCCGTGTTCTAAGATAACATAATTTTTGAAAAAAAAAAACATTTTTCAAAGTGCGAATTTAAAACTCTGATAGTCCTTGAAAAAATATTCCTCAAAATTCTCTTTTTAAACTCTGAGAATACTTGAGCAAATATTTCTTAAAAATCCAGGCTTCCCAAAGATGTTTCGAAATATTTTTAAAAATCCGCTTTTTAAGATCTAGTAATCCTTGAAAAAATATGTTTCAAATACGGGTTTAAATCTCTGATAATCCTCATAAAATATGCCTCAAAAAATCGGTCTGCAATAATCCACGTTCAAAACTCTGATAGTCCTTGAAATATGTTCTTCGAAACTCTACGTCTTAAGCTCTGATCATCCACATTTATAGTTCTTATTAGTCCTATTTTTTTTTTCCAAATTCTCATTTAAAGCTCTTATATTAGTAGTGAAGTACGATAAGGCTGCGTTTTTGGAAATTTGTACAAAAGGGGTACGAAAAGTACTAAAATGTACTAATAATATTTGCTTTTGTCAAATGGAATGAGCTAGAATTCTAAAATTTGGAATTCTAAAATGGCACTAAACTTCTCAACCGCTGCCATTTGGTATTATGAAAAGGGATAGAGTTAAATAGAGTATTAGGCTCGCTGGACATACGGAGGTTGTTTGGTAAATTGGTATTATAATTGCAAGAAAAGTTCTGAATAGTACTAAAGGGTGAGATGAAAAAACTATAACCAATTTCAGACTTCTGTCATTTCTAAGCCATTCGTCCGACAGCTGTTAAAATTTTTCCAGTGACAGCTCATTATGTTGTTTACAATCGTACAAAACCATTTTTTGAGAAAATTTTCAAGAAAATAAGTTATTCGTGATAGAATTCAAGCGTGACAGTGTGATTTCTTTATATTTGGCTGGAAACCACAAGTAGCTTTCGTTAGAGCACTCCAGCATTTAAATGTGAATAAATCTTTTGTGTTTCGTACCATCGTTCGTTACCGTCATACTGGTAGCGTAGCCCGACGTCAAGGAAGTGGGCGGAAGAAAACAGCAAAACCAGCAGAAATGGAAAGAAGCGACTTGATTGAAACCCGCGTCGCAGTGGCCGAAAAAAACAGCTCACGGTAAAGCCATTGAAATTCCAAAAAATGCAAGAACTTACACCGCAAAAGAAAGAAAATAGACTCAAAAGAGCTAAAGAACCGAAAGTGGTGAACTGCCGAATTTGGTTTTCTCCAATGAGAAAACATTCGTTGTCCAGCAGTTTGTAAACAAACAAAATGATTGTGTGTCAGCTAAAAATGTGCACTTCGGTTGGTCACCAGAACTCAAGCGCGGCCAGGGTGATAGTCGCTCGCTGCTCGTATTAGTCGACTGTGGTATCAGAATAAATGCCGAATATTATCGCGAAAATATTCTGGAGGGTGTATTAAAGTCTTGGGCACGAAAACATTTTGGCCGAAGACCTTGGACATTCCAACAGGACTCAGCACCATCGCACTCAGCACGCGCCACCCAAGAATGGTTAAAAAATTAGGTTCCTCGCTTCATTTCCAGCGCACAATGGCCACCAACATCTCCGCATACCAATCCGTTGGACTTTTGTATCTGGAGTATTTTGGAAAGGAAGGTTGGCACTAAAAAATACCGAATTGTCGATCACCTCAAGCAAGCGTTTCGCCGGGAATGGACCTGAATACCGCAGAGCAACATTCGGGCAGCGTGTGACGGTTTCATTGGCCCTTTGAAGGCCATAATTCGTGCCAAAGGTGACCAATTCGAACAAATCTAAATTTATTCTAAAATTTGATGCTATTTTCGACATTTTTTGCTTTAATTTAATAAAATTTCAAAAAAAAAAAAAAAAATAAATTATGGCGTTTGACTTTGTTGCAGATTTTTATCTCACCATGTATAAATCATTTAAAATACTAAAAATTAAAATACTTTACAAATGACTCTAACATTACATGTATGCTATATAGATATATACTGCAGCTTTGATAAACTAGGTCACCGGTGGCCAGTTTTTGGTCAATTTTAGATAAAGGATTTAAGAAACCCCAAATTCCTGAGGATTTCGCATTTTAACCAAACAATATTCCCTGCCTCCTACTTTAACTTACCTGAGTTTCGTTCAACTGCAGCGTATTGGCAATTTCAATGCGTCGCGCCCTCGTCAGATAACGATTAAAATGAAATTCTTTTTCCAGTTCGGTTAGCTGTTTGTTGGTGAAATTCGTACGGCCAGAATTATTGGTGGCCGCAAGGCTACAGGCCATACCCAAACTATTTGGACTATGATTACCGCTCAGAAGCACGGCAGGCGATTGGGGGCCAGCCATTTGATGTGGTGACAATACAAGTCCAGCTGGACCGGCATTGCCACCAGCCGCTGCTGCATTGCGGCACATTGCATCCAGTGCCGACTGGCTATTCAGGTGATGATAATCATGCAAAGTGGCAGGTAGTTTTGGTGCTGCAAGAAAACGAAGGAGAAGAAATGATAATTAGACAAGTTTGTTTGTTGGATGAGTCAAGTGATGTTTAATTTTTTTTTTTTTGGGAAAAAATACAAACAGATTTTGTTGTTTTTGTGTGGTTAACCCTATTGTTAGAATCTCAATGCCCCGAAAACCAAAATTGTGGTTTTACAGATTATGAGTGATTTTGTCAGTGATGATCGCTGTCAAAGTTAATCAGCGTGAGATTTTCTGTTGTTGTTGTTGTTGGTCTTGTGGTTTGTTCGGTTGGCTGGGTTTCCTTTGAGACATTTATACCCAAAACAAAAAGCACATGCCGTACTCAAAAATCCCAAAAATGTTTAAGATGTTACGTTCAGGTTCAGGTTAGGGACCCTAATTCATTTCTACCTCCAAGAACACACAGCCACATACAACACAACGGGATATTTTTGTGTTGCTTATGAGTATTGAATGATTTTGAAATTTTTTTTTGGTTTGGTTTCTTTTTTTGGCACACAGGTACATTTCATGTGTCTAGTTTTGGCATGAGTTGGCATATATTTGTTATTGTTGTTTTGCTTCCTTCTATCCAGAGGGTGACATGCACCCCATGGCTAAAATCTAATGATTATTAAAATCCATAATTTCTGTGGTCAATAGTGGTGGGTTACAGGTAGGCAATGGATATTCCTATGTGACGTGCAATTGACTTGACTTTTTGATTTTTACAATGATGTTGTGGGTTTTACTTGAACGAAAGAAAAGGCTTTAATGAGATTAACCAGAGTTTGTTTTGGAAATATTTAATTTAATAAGAAATTAATTCTTCTTTGCTTCGTTTTTCTTTAGTGGGCGTTTGCTTCTTGAAGACCTCCTGTGACCAAGCTAACAGAGGAAAATCCTGGCAGGATATAGTTTTCGTAGAAAGGAAGAGATTTTATTTGTCATGGTTAACCAAAGGATTTTTTTTGGAAAATGATCATGTTTGGTACGAAAGAAGCTAGGGGTACTGACATAACCCAAGGATAACCTTACAAGGAAGTGGAAAGTTTTGCATCCTACCCAACACCATGGATGAGAAAACACAAAACTATTTATGAAACCTACTCTATAATAACCCCGAATAAAAAAAAACCATAAAAAAACTCTACAACAAGAGAAAAATTTCCCCCGACAATTTGGTAGAATTCGGACATACGTCGGACAAAACTTCCGACTTTGAGCAGACGTGTCGGGCGTCCGACATTTGGTGGGTTGGGTATGTTCGTAGTGTGTCATTTTTGTTGAGATCAAAAGCCTTCAGCACTCATACCAAAACAAATGCTATGTTGGAGCATGCATGAGGTAGCGGCACGAAATCACCCAGCTAATTCGGAATGGGACTCTGAACCAGTTTTCGATTCTGATGAGGATGCCTAAAATCCGAAAAGTTTTGTCGGAAAAAAATTCCAAAGGAATATTGAAATTTTGTGATGCATTACTTTGGAATTTACGAAATAATAATTGGGAAATTTATTTTCTGAACTATGGATGCTTTTTTTGAAAAAATCTGAATATTTCTAATTGGAAAAAATCGGATAAATATAACAAAATTAAAACAAAACGATATATAATTTTTTAAAGGTAGAAATATTCACACTTGATTTTGACATGGTAGGAATATACCACAGTGCAAAACATAAACTAATTCCAGACTCCTAAAAGTTCGTATGAAAATATTTGAACCATATTAGTACCTTTATTCGCTTTTTTTGCCTGTATCCTCCAAAATTTGCTCATTCACCCAATTAGACCCGATTTCAAAGGAAGACTGTTCTCAGTGGCTAGGAAATCAATCTTTCCGGGAAAAAGCTAAACCAACTTTGTTTTAATTTTCAAATACTGTTCGAAATCTGGACTTTGATCTTAAATTCCTCAATTTAAGCTTTCGATCAAATTGTACACATCTAAATATTTTATTAACACAACATCTGGTGTGAAGATTGGATATATCGGTCCACTCCTTCTAGTACCTCCACCACAAAGGATTCAACCTTTTCAATAACAAAACCACAAAAGGTACAAATTTTGATTAACAGTTATTTGCATAAAATTGAAAATGAATTTTCGATTTTCTTCAAATTTTTAGTTGTATTAGACGATGTGGTATGGTATCTGGTCCACTACAGGGCGAGATAAAAATTGCAACAATCACAAACGCCATATTTTTAACTTTTTTTTTTAAATTTTATTGAATGAAAGCTAAAAATTTTGGAAAACCATTAAATTTTCGAATAAGTTTGGATTTGTTCGAATTGGTCACCTATGGCACGAATTATGGCCTGGAAACGGCCAATAAAACCGTCACACGCTGCCCGAATGTTGCTCTGCGGTATTTGGTCCACTCCCGGCGAAGCACTTGGTTGACGTGATCGACACTTTGATCATTTTTAGTGCCAACATTGCTTTCCAAAATACTCCAGACACAATAGTCCAACGGATTAGTATCTGGAGATTTTGGTGGCCATTGTGCGCTGGAAATCAAGCGAGGAACCTCATTTTGTAACCATTCTTGGGTGGCGCGTGCTGAGTGCGATGGTGCTGAGTCCTGTTGGAATGTCCAAGGTCTTCGGCCAAAATGTTTGCGTGCCCAAGGCTTAAATACACCCTCCAGAATATTTTTTCGATAATATTTGGCATTTATTATGATGCCACGGTTGATTAATACGAGAGCGACAGTCCACACCATCACCATGGCCTGCTCTTGAGTTCTCGTTGCCAACCGAAGTTACACATTTTCAGCTGACCTCTTTGGCAAGTAAACACGATCATTTCGTTTGTTTACAATCTGCTACACAACGTATATTTTCTCATCGGAGAACACCAAAATCGGCAGTTCACCACTTTCGGCCAAGCGAAGCAACTCTTTAGATCTTTTGAGTCTATTTTCTTTCTGTTGCTGTGTGAGTTCTTGCACTTTTTGAAATTTCAATGGCTTTACCCCGAGCTCATTTTTCAATATTTGCCGAATGGAATGTTGCGCTATGTTCAGCTCACTAGCCATTTTTCGGCCAGTGCGACGCGGGTTTTGATCAAGTCGCTTCTTTACTTTTTGAACCATTTCTGCTGATGTTGCTGTTTTCTTCCGCCCACTTCCTTGACGTCGGGCTACGCTACCAGTATCACGGTAATAAGCGATGGTACGAGTCTCAAAAGATTTATTTTCATTTAAATGCTGGAGTGCTCTAACGATAGCCACTTGTGGTTTTCCAGCCAAATATAAAGAAATCACACTATCACGCTTGAATTCCATCACGATTAACTTTTTTTTGGAAAATTCTCACCAAAATGCTTTTGTGCGCTTTTAAACTATATAATGATCTGTCACTGGAATAATTTTAACAGCTGTGGGACTAGTGGTTTAGAAATGACAGCAGTCTGAAATTGGTTGCAGTTTTTTCATCTCACCCTGTATACCCTCTGTAGCCATATGGTTTAGGGTTTAAAAAAAAACTCTCTAAAATTTTCAACACAACTATTTCCCTCTCTTTCGCAGAAAAAATTACCAACATTGCCAGAAATGCAATTATTTCGGGGGCACAACCGACAAAACCTGAAATTTTCAAGAGGTTACGTCGAAGAAAAAAACTTAATTTAAATAGCACAATATTGAGTAATGAAACAAATACTTTTCTTAGCCTTAGGGATAGTTTATACATCATGTTAGTGTCATATGTAAAGTAACGTTTGTTATATTATACATTTAGGCGCTTTTCATATTTTTTAAACTACAAATAAGAGTTTATGTATTAATTTGTATTAATTTCAGTTAATATATTCAAAGTATACACATAGTACAATGCAATTTTGTATAGTGCGTTTAAAGTTATTTTACATATGACTTTTTGCTGTAGATTTTTTCTTCTCCTCCATAGGGCCTGAGGCATTTCTCTAATACTCTTAAAACTAAATATCGTCTTTAAGCGTTTGTTGTCATTTTCCACATAACGAAGCAGACCACCTATTTGAATACGATTTTTTATATGCTAGATATCTTTGCATATTCTAAATATACAAGCAGAATAGGTATGAATGTCTGTATACCCACATCATATGTTTGTATCCTCTATGTCTTTATTAATAACTAAATATAAATGTTGCCCAAAAACAGAAACATTTCTATGCTCCATGTTTTTTTTTGTTTTGTTTAGGTTTTTTCTCTGATGTTTTTTTTTTTTTTTTTTTGACTGGCTTTTGATTGATCATTTCAAATGATTTTTGACTTATTTATGAGACGTAGACGAGTCATGTGTATGTTTGTCTCTCTATGTTTATTGACCACATGGTTATGTGGGTATGTGTGTCTGTTTTCAACATTTTTGATTATCTCTTTTTTCGTTGACTCTCCAGTTTTACGGTTTTATGGCACATTTGATTTCTAACGCTTATAAATTTTATTTAATAATATTGGAAACACTTGACATTTAATATGGCGTTATATGATTTGTTGCCTAGGACAAACCGAACCAAAAATTTATATATGACCAGCCTCATAGGCATTTGTTTTGGGTATAAATTTGCTGGTGTGTGTGTGTGTGCGTGTGTGTTAGTGTGTCATATAAATCATAAAAAGCAATTTTATTTACAACAGTAGCAGCAATTCAATGTTTTATCTCTTCAGGTTGTTTATTAATTTTTATCTGTCCACCATACTGAATGTTGAAAATCACGTTTGGTAGTACAATTCGTTGTTATTATGGCCTAATTATGGATTAGCGGAATTAGTGGCAGATTGGTACAGCTGAGGGGAAGGGGGTGGGTGCAAAGGAAAAATGTTCTCAAAGAGTATTGCTTCAATATTAAAATTAAATAGCAATCCTATCGGATTCTCTCTACGACGGAGGTGCAAATTCAAATAGATCTCCTCTAAAGGAAAAATGTGGTAAGACAGTTATTTCAATTATGTAAGTTATAGCCTTATATAACCTTTGTAGACATGAGGCTAAATAAATAAAAACTTTGGTTCGAAATTGGA